GCGGCTGTACTTGCCTGCCAAGCAGTGGGTCTCTCTGCTATTTCTGCTGATTTCTTCTTCCTTCAAATGTGTAGTACCTTGTGGCTATTAGAGGAAGCGAGAAGGATGATTTCTCTTACGTAAACTCAAATTCTACTTCACAGCTTATATCTTCATAATTTCCATAATTTTCATCTTTTATTGAGAGCTCTATCTGCTGGGGTCCTGCATTCCCCCTTCCTCAAGAAGGGACTTAAATGACAGCAGGTTTATTTTGTGAACTCTCTGAGGGCAGAAGCTGCTGCATCTTCTGCTTGCTTGAGTTCTCCCTGCCACCTAACAAGTGCTTGGCCCCTAGTTGGTGTCCCAGGTACTTGTTGACCAAGAATGTTGTAAAGATCTTGGAAGTTTTCAGAAATAAAAACTCAGGATTAAAGCAAAATAAATAGCACGTTCTTGCCTTAAAAAATGACTTTTTATTATGATCATTTCAAGCATACAGAAAAAAAAATGGAGAAAATAATATGATGAACATCCATATACACACCACCACGTATTTCAACAACTGTTAACTTCTTGCCATATTTGCCTCATCTGTTTATATTAATAATTTTTGCTGAATAACTTCAAAATAAATTATAAACATCAGGATACTTCTCCCCAACAGCATGCATCTTTAAGAACTAAAGACATTTTCCTATATAACCACAGTACCAATATCCCATCTAAAAAAACCAAAACAAACACTACAATTCCCTGAAATCATTTCATACCCAGTTCATGTTAGAATTTCCCTGATTGGGGCCGGCCCGTGGCTCACTCGGGAGAGTGCGGTGCTGATGACACCAAGGCCCCGGGTTCGGATCCCACATAGGGATGGCCGGTTCGCTCACTGGCTGAGCGTGGTGCTGACAACACCAAGTCAAGGGTTAAGATCCCCTTACCGGTCATCTTTTTAAAAAAAAAAAAAAAAATCAGTGACAGTGCACCATAATTAAGAACTACACAAACTTGTTAAAGGCAGTGCAGGGCTGTGCGTACACTTGTGCAAGTCGTTCACTGCACAAATCTGGGGGGTGGGGCAGTCACCTCCTAGTCATTGCAGATTTATAGTCATGGCAGTTTTCTGACATCTAGTGGTACAGTGTGTTGAAGGGGTACCTTTTTCTATTCACACAAATTCTCTCTTGGTTTAGTAGCATAAGGCTGGGTTGGAGTGTATGATCTTGAATATGATTTCAAAGCTGTACTAAAAGTGGAATCTTCTTGTACATCTTGAACTACAGAATTACAAGAGGAAAATTATCCAGGTTTAAAACCACTTTTTTACCAGTATGTGCAAAACTGTGTTATCACGTAGGGGATTGGGAGATAGTTCTTGAAATAGGAGCTTTCTCTTAACTCTGTTGGTTGGAGCATAAATTACTGCAATCTTTTGAAGACAAACTGGTAATATTTTACACTTATATCCCCCTTGACACAGTAATTCTACATCTATATATTTATCCTATGTAAACACAAGAACATAAATATAAATGTACAAATGCATTCACTGCAGTTTTGTTTCTAACAAGACAGCAATAAAAAACAACAAACCAAAAAGCTCTAAGTACGCCAAAGAAATGGAGGAGATATTTGGCTGTGAAAAAATGGTGAAGCTGGTATAAACACCAATCATTCCTTAAGTTTACAGTCAACCAAAATAAGACCAGGAAATGCTCGGCCATTGTACAATATCTGGGTCTGGTCCATAATTTTATCATCTCATTGATGTTTCTTTCAGATGCTTTTGCATTGCACGTGTTTTTTTGCTACATGTTGTGTGTTGCTTCAAATCTGGTGTTCTGCTCTCACAAACACAACATCATCTCATTGATGTTTCTTTCAGATGCTTTTGCATTGCACGTGTGTTTTTTTGCTACATGTTGTGTGTTGCTTCAAATCTGGTGTTCTGCTCTCACAAACACAACTTTTTTCCCTTTTATACTAAATAAATACAAAACACTTGCAGAATCAGTAATTAAATTCATCCCTTCAAAAGCAAATTCTTGTGGACAGAAAACAATGCTGATAATTATATTTCTTGTATCCATTCAAGCTTGCCTAGAAAGAGCATTGTCTAGCTGTGCCTCAATTATCTACAGTGAAATAGCACAGTTGAGGCCTGCAGCTGGTATCGTGGAACTCATCCTACATAAATGCACTGGCCTGACTTCCTGGCCATCAAATTAGGTTCTAGTTTGGAGAACCGCAGGGCTAGGTAAGACAATAGAAGGGAATCCTCCCAATACAATTCTCAAAGTGTTGTTCATCAACCATCATCAGCTGGGAACTTGTCAAAAATGCAAATTCTTCGGCCTTTCCAAAGACCTAATAAATCAGAAACGTACATTTAAAAAATTTCTCCAGATGTTTCTAATGCCCACCCAAAGTTTTGAGAACCACCATCCTAATAAATTACTTCTAATTTCTCCTTAAAATCAAACCTAGCAGCAAAACTGTAAAATACTCCAAAAGAATTACCATTTGACACTTGCTACAAGAGATTGTTCTGAAGAACAACAAAAAGAAACCCACTGAAAATAATCTACAAAAGCTGTATTCTTAAAATGGTCAACAAGTGTTGACTTCTGGCAATAGAACTCAGTTAATGGCCACAGGACAAGGCAGATAAAAAACTGACTGCAGAGTCCAAACTCCTGGGGTTAAATCTTGGCTCTATCACTTACAGCCTTAAGATAAAGTTAGTAGTGTTCTCAAAGCATTTGTAAAGAAAATCAGAAATGCTATTCTTAAATTTATTTTTATCTGAATAACACAAAAACCTAGTAATTTCTCCCTGGGTCATATACTCATCACTAAACATTAAGGCCCTATAAAATGCCAGGAGCCATAGTGATAGGTAAGGAGAACACAGAAGAAAAGTCCACAACTGGGGGGTGGAGATCTCAAGTAATGCCAAAGGAAATTTTTTAAAAACCTCTTCATAATCATTACCGACCTCACTTAATTCTCAGAGCAATCCAGTTTCAGATAAGCAAACAGGTTCTGAGAGTTTAAGTAATTTACCCTAGCACTTTGCTACTCTAAGTATGGATTTCATTCAGCCCCATCTGTGAGCTTGCTAAAAATGCACAATATCTTGGGCTCCAATCCAGACCTGACTCAGATATATATTTTATGATGATCTCTAGATAATTCCTATGCCCTTTAAAGTTTCAAACACCTGGTACTACTGTATATTCTAAGTGTTATAACTGGGATAAAGGATGAACCTGAGCCACATCTTTAAAGATGCCTTACAGATGCAAATAGATTGAACTCTTCATGCACAGCAAAGGAATCTTTTCTAAAAGAGTCCTGGGACAAGGAACTGCAGACAACATTCTGAGACTGGAGGAGAGGTGACAGCTCAGCCAAAGCCTTGTAAGCATGCTGAGGAGCAAGAATGAAATGGATAGATATGAGTTTAAACCAGAAGAGAAATTTAGATTTTTGAAAGGAAGGGGAGAAGTAGAGAATCAGCAAGTTTTAAGCAGGGATTATTTTATGTGGCCCAGTCACAGAAATTCTTCAAATCTACTAATCAAAATAATGTATATAAAATTCACCTGAGCTTCCCATTTCAAACTAAATTCACAAGGCTCTCTGTTTAGGACAGTGCTATACTAGCACCAAGCAGAGCCAGAACCTACCTTTCCGTTAGTGTTTTAAATAGTTCAGCCCTTAAGAAAGCTGGTGGCTGTGCGATTTAACTAGACTCTTCCTATGCCTGTAGAAGACTCCTCAAAAAGACTAGAAACTTGTTAAATTAGTATTCTCATTAGTGTTTTAAATAGTTCAGCCCTTAAGAAAGCTGGTGGCTGTGCGATTTAACTAGGCTCTTCCTATGCCTGTAGAAGACTCCTCAAAAAGACTAGAAACTTGTTAAATTAGTATTCTCAAAGTCTACCTTGTTTCAGATGTAAAGCCTTTGACTATATAGCCCTTGGCAGATCTATGGGTCATTTTCATCAATAGTTGTTAAAAATAAAATGAACTTTTGTCTCAAATCAAGAATGTGTCTTGGGGTACTATTGGGTGATGCAAAATGAGCAAGATAACCAGCTTTATTATGTAACTTTATCCAGGGATGGTTGCATGTATTTTATCAACATTTACTTCAAGCAAATTATCTAAATTTGAAACTCACACCACTGAAAGTTTGTATCATCTCATTTTCTACAAACCACTTTTAGGAGAGGTAAAGCTGACCATCACCTGTGATTTATAAGCAAGGAAACTTAAGTGGGGCTATTGATTTGCTTGTGGACACATGAAAGTTGAGGTGGAAGTCAAAGCTATAGTCTTTCTAGCTTCTTCTCTCTGCCAACTACTTTTATTGAATTGGGCTTCAGCACGATGCCCATGGCATACAGAGAGGCAAGACAGTCCTATGAAACTTATGGCTGTTGTGACTATGTGGCAGTTAAACCAGGCTTCTGTTTGCATATTAATCACTTTCAGAAACACATTTCTCTTTGTTATTCTATGTCCCATCTTATACCTCATTTCTATTAACATTTTATTTTTCCTGATATTGTTTTCCCTTAATTCCCTATTCTTTCTTTAAAATCATTTTAAAAAGTCACTTAAATCACGGTCTAGATTAAGAATGACTTTGTTGGACCTTTTAGAATTGTGAACAAGTTAAAAAAAAGACTTTTTTTCTTTTTGAAGAATTACTGAAAAGCTATGCTCAACTTATTTTAAAATCTGAACAAGAAACAAATCTTTATTTAAACAAATAGAGGCAGAAAAATAGGAGAAAAGGGAAAAAACGAAAAACAGTCCAGTAAGGGAAGAGAAACACATTAGACTGAGGTTCTTAAACAGGTCCCTCTAATCACCACCTCCAAAAGACAGTTTCAAATTAACCATTAACTATCACTTTTCAGCTATAATTGTTAAAACAATAATCACCAGATGCCAAATAAAATATAGATTTCCTACCCATAATATAAAGAGATGACAAAACTGTCTTAAAATACAAAGAAAATATTTTTATTTGTATATCAAAGCCTCTAAGAAATGATGACATAATAAGGTTAACAGAGTTGATGTCAAGACAAATAGGTTTGAAAAGCTACAGACGACTGATCACTTGGTGTCATTCAGCACCCTCCTTGACTATTGTAGAGAGCATCTCTGGTATGTGCTCAACTGAGACTTAAGCACGGTGCACCCAGGCGACACAATTATGCTTCTCTTCCGTTAGTCCTCACTGTCTCTCTTTTTTTTCTTTTTCTTCTTTTTTTCTGGACTCTGAAAATAACCAATAAGAATGCTTTTAAAAGACATGCAATAGTATGGGTAGTAACTTTTCCATATATAATGCAAAGCAGATATATTATCCTTGAAAACAAATTTTGGGGAAAAGATTAAAATCTAAATATAAAAATCATGTCTAAGGGCCGGCCCAGTGGCGCACTGGATAGTGCGCCGCTTGGGAAGCGGGGCGGCGCTCCCGCCCGAGGGTTCAGATC